AGAATCCCAAGCAGGCTCCAGGCTCTGAGCTGTCAACACAGAGCTCGACACAGGCCTCGAACCCACAGATAGTGAGACCATGACCTGAGCTGAAATCGGACCCTTAAGTGACTGAGTCAGCCAGGTGCCCCTAGAGTCTGAGAAAATTAAATGTAAGGACAACCAATCACAAACAGCCACCTAGCCTTTCCCAGATAAAACAACTACCTATGTGGCAGCCAATAAAATGATTTCCTTGCTTTGCTTCCGTGTCTTCTTTGTAAAAAGAAAGCTCTCCCCCAGCTCCTGCCTGGTGGCAGAGAGCTCCTACCCACCTTTGGTGTGGCATCACCCAGTTAAAATATATGCCCAAATAAACTCTTGAAAAATTAGAATGTGCCTCAGTTTACCCTTGAACAAGAATACCACCAGTGCTGTTGTTTAAGGTTGCCCTTTTGAGACGAAATGAAGTTTCAGTGGAGACCACCTGGTCAATCCCAGGTAAGTACTCCTTTTTATACATCTCCCTTTACTTAGTTGACTCAGGGTCTGCCCTGCCCCGTACGTGAGATTCCCCAGGGTTACCCTTCTGTTGGTGCCTACCCCTTTGGCCAAGCTCAAGGCCTTTTCCATATCGTGTCCCCACTGGGCAAGGGAGGCAGCTACCCACTGGGGGTCAGTCCAGCAAAAGAACCCAAGACATAAATGCTTATTGGTGGGTCTCTGTGAATGTGGTAGGAACTTCAGAAATAAGTGAACTGGGTAGGGGGAGACCTCCTTCAGGTCCTGATTTTGTGACTCTTGAGTGAGTCCCCTTTGCCACCTGGTCCTAGGTTTTCTTATCTGTATGATGGCCTTAAAGGACCAAACAAGCTCCATTAGTGGGATTCCAGGGCTTAGGGCTTGACTAGCCTGGTCCCCAGGCCATGGTCTCTAGGTCTCTTCTGCTCAACAGTCATCCCCACTGGACCCCCACTTAGTCAACCTCTACCCTCATGGTTACATAGCTACCTGTAGCTCATTAAGCATCTTTACAAGTATCTTTTCCTTTGATCCTCCCAGAATCCCTGTGAGATATTTTATCATTCCCATTTTATTTTTTTAAGATTTTATTTTTATACCCACCGTATACCCAACGTATACGTTGGGTGGGGCTTGAACTCATAACCCCGAGATCAAGAGTCTCATGCTCCGACTAAGCCTGCCAGGCACCGTTTGTTATTCCCATTTTAAAGTTGACTAAACTGAGCCTCAGAAAGCGGCATCCCTTGCCTGGGGAGGGTGGCGGAAGCCCTGCTCTGATTCTGGGGCGCGGGCTTCCCTGCTGTTGTCTTGGCATCCGGCACATGGTAGGCTCACCGTGGTATTTGCTGAGAATGAATGAGTAGATTCCCTGCATTTGAATCCCTTCTTCTTCAGAAGAAAAGGGGAGGGGCGCCTGGGTGGCCCAGTCAGTTAAGCGTCCAACTCTTCGTTTCAGCTCAGGCCGTGATTTCACCGTTAGTGAGTTTGAGCCCTGCACCAGGCGTCGCGCTGGTAGTGCAGGGCCTGCTTGGGATTCTCTCTCTCTGTGTCTCTGTCTCTGTCTCTCTCTCTGCCCCTCCCCTGTTCATGCTCTCTCTCTCTCTAAAATAAATAAAAAAAGGGGGGGGGGGGCGGGAGCATGACATCAAAAGCAAAAAGAAAAAACAGAACTCACGTTGCTGGAATACTCATTTAAGCCTCCCTCCCGCGGGAGTCCTGCCTCCATTCTGTACACGAGGGAACCGAGACCCTGGAGAAGTCAAGTCACTCTCTTGAGGTCACACAGCAAGGACTAGGAGAGCCAGGATTTCCACGCACCCCCCAGAGCTTACGATCCCTCTTCAGACTGCTTTTCCAAGAGCCTGTGACTTGCAGGTGTAGCTCTTAAAAGAGGCCGGCAGATGTGGACCAGCTGGGCCATTTAAAGAGTTCAACGATGTTAAATATTTAGTGACAGGTTGATGACTATGGCCCACAGGGGGCTGAGAGGGGAAATCCAGGCAGGTGGATGCCGTACATGCTGGGCCCTGGGCCAGCGCGGTGAGGAGGGCTGTTCTTGGACTTGTGTCTCTGGGTGTCCTGGCAGGGCAGGAGAAAACAGGATCAGGGAAATGGTGTGGCCGCGTGGGAGCAGCTCCCCGTTGGCTGAAACGTGACAGTGCTGGAGGCCATGCTGTGCCCTCACTTAATTAGCAGGTGTCATTGCCAAGGCACATGGGTCTATGCTGGGGTTTCATGGAATTTCAACATCAGCCCCCCAGCTGCTCTCTTCTCACCTGGGCTGGGCTCCTCATCCTCCCGGATGCTGAAGTAGGCCAGCAGCTCAGAGATCCTGGGGCTACGAGGCTGCCTGCTGGAGCCCCAGTTTTGTGTTTTAATAACAACAATGGGAATAATCATAAATGTAGGTATCTGTGAGAAAAAAAAGTGTAAAATGGCATTCACCAGAAACAGTGGATATCACTAGGGGGCAGGATTCAGGGTGATTTGAATTTTTATTTCCCTCCAGGTTTTTGAATTTATGATGGTCGCTGTTGCTTGTGTAATTAACAAAAAAATAAGGCATTGGTTGGTTAATCATAACAACCTCACTTCCATCGTGCCTTAGACTTTATGAGGTACTTTCAATGCATGAATGGCTTTCAACCTTGGCTGCAGGTCTGGATCACCTAGAGAAATTTTTTTAAATCCTCATGCTTGATCCCGGAGACAGGTTCTGATGTAGGTGGTCAGAGGTGGGGTCTGGGCATCTGTATTCTTTCCCATTTTTGGTAGTTTATCTCTTTAATTAAAAAAATTTGGGGGGCACCTGGGGGGTTCAGTCGGTTAAGTGTCCAACTTCGGCTCAGGTCATGATCTCGTGATTCATGGGTTCGAGCCCCACATCGGATGGGCACTGTGCTGACAGCTCAGAGCCTGGAGCCTGCTTCAGATTCTGTGCCTCTCCTCTCTCTCTCTGCTCCTCTCTTGCTCACGCTCTGTCTGTCTCTCTCAAAAATAAATAAACATTGAAAAAAAAGTTTTGGGGTGCCTGGGTGGCTCAGTGGGTTGAATGTCCTATGCAGAGTTCAGCTCAGGTCATGGTCCAAGGGTCGTGGGACTGAGCCCAGATTCAGGCTCCACACTGAGCATGAAGCCTGCTTGGGATTCTCTCCCTCTCTCCCTCTCGCATTTTCACTGTCTCTCTAAAAAAAAAAAAAAAGTATCAAATTAAAAAATAAAAATAAATTTCAAAAAAAATGTTTAATGTTTATTTATTTTTGAGAAAGTAAGCACAAGCAGGGGAGGGGTGGGGTGGGGGGGAGGGACAGAGGATCTGAAGTGGGTTCCATGCTGACAGCTGAGAGCCCAATGTGGGGGCTCAAACTCACAAACTGTAAGATCATGACCTGAACCTAAGTCAGAGGCTCAACAGACTGAGCCACCCAGGTGCTCCTAAATTCAAAAAGTATTAATTGACATATGGTTGATACATAATATCATGTTAGTTTCAGGTGTATAACACAGATCCAATATGTAACGAAATGTATATGTAACGAAATGCTCACCACCATGAGTGTAGTCCCCATCTTCCGCCAAAGTTATTACAATATTATTGACTGTATTCCCTTTGCTGTACTTGTCATCCCTGTGACTTATTTAACTGGAAGCTTATCTGTACTTTTCATACACTTTAGAATAGTTTTCGATTCACAGAAAAATGCAAAGATAGTACAGAGAGTTCCTTCTGCTTTATACTCCTTTTTCCGTTACTAACATCTTATGTTCATTAGGTACTTCCGTAGGACAGAAGTCTCACGGGGTTGAGTTCAAGGAGTCAAGTTCAAGCTCCCGACGCGGCTACATTTCCGGAGGCTCCAGGGAAGAATGGGTGTCTTTGCCTTCTTCAGGCTTCTGGAGGCTGCCACGTTCCTGGGCTTTCTTTCGTCTTCACAGCCCACAGCCTAGCATCTCCTTCTGCCCATTCTTCGCCAGCCGCATCTGCTCGGCCTCAGCTGGGGAATCTTCTCCACTTTTAAGGATTCATGTGCCCACCTGGATGATTCAGGATAACCTTCCCATCCCAAGGTTTTTAACCTTAACCACCTCTGCAAAGCCCCTTCTTCCACGTAGCCAAGGTAACCTGTTCACAGGTTCTGGAATTAGGGGGTGGACATCTTTGGAGGTCAGTATTCCACCCACCACAGGAGGAAAGAGGGACACTTTTAATTATCGTCATTCAATTTCATTTGGCTTTGCCTTTTGTTTTTTACCACCACCACCCCCCCCAAATAGTACATCACTACCACATCTCTTATCCTTCTAAGCCCTCCTGGCCTCTGTTTACCTCCTTCCTCCCAGTTTGGAGGTCGTCACCCTGAGAGAAACCTGCACAGGTAAGTCTGCCCTCTTCAGGTGCGTGGCCAGGACCTTCCATTACCATGGATGCTCTATTTGTCAATCAGGTGAGCTCATCAGACCCTATTCGAACAGACCTGTTCCTATATGCAGAGGAAGCTGAAAAATGGAATTCTGTTCCAGAACCTCCCATTCAGGTCGTTCATCCTGCTTGCACCTGCTGGAATACATTTGTCTGATGGAACAGCACTAGCTTTTTTTTTTTTTTGGTATTCCTTTTATTTTTCAAGGCCAGCCCCGTATGAAGGAAGCAGACTCTGTGTATCTCTGAATCATTTTGTGTCACTGAGCTTTAATTTTCCTATCTGTGAAATAGGGATGATAGTACGAATTTGTTATTGACAGCTGCCTTAGCCCAGGGCCAGCACATTGTGGGAACTTGATAAATGATACCTGTTGGTGTCATAATTGCTCTGATACAATTTTATGTGTAGCGCCTGCCTCTGTAAGTGCTGGGTTCATTTCCCCCCTCCTAAAGGAAGGTGCTGGGAAATTGTTACTTATTTGCATACGAGCGGTTGATAAACTCGCCACCATTCCCCCCAGTTTCCCTGCTCAAGCTACACCCTGATTGGGGTTGGGGTATTGCCTTCTCTCTGTGGTTCAGGAGGAAATCCTGATTTGTCTAACCCAACTACGGTGGACCCACACCCTTGTGGGGGAGAGGGGGTGGGGCCCAGTTCTAACCAAAAACACTTCAGGGGATATCTGCTGGGGGTGGGGGTGGGGCAACTCCTGGGTGCTGTTATATGTGCAAGAGACCTGTGGTACTGCTGCAGCCATAACCCCAGCAGGAGCATGCCACCAACACAGCTGACCGCGACCATCACAGGGCAGGAAGAGAGAAGGGTCGCTGCTTGATGGCGATGTCAGAAACAGAATCGACCCATCCCATGGGCCCCAATCCCAGAGCTTGGTTCTTCCTTTCTTTTCTTTCTTTCTTTCTTTCTTTCTTTCTTTC